AAAGGAATAGATCCATAGGGATTCTATCCAATTTAAACACTGCATATAAGAAATATAGGATTTTTTATTGATGATTTTATTTCATGATATTTCTTTGTTCATTTCTTTGATCTTAAAGTTTTATGGATGGTTAAAGTAGAAAGAGAACTTTAATGATCACTTTTTCTTTGGTCTTCTGCCATTACATCTTCACCATTCCTGTCTTTGCAGAAGTAACCTTATTAAATCACTATTTTTATTGGTTGTTTCTTGTACAAAAACTTGTTTTCTAGACTCTGGAGTTTTGTACTTTTCTTCTTGGCAATTAAGGCCTGTGAAAACTGACTGACCCACCTGTGTAATTTTATTTTCTTCTGTTCTACAATTTGAACATCCCCCCGCCGCGCCCCCCCCCCCCCCAGGCCAGTTTCTATCCAATCCTATATGGAACACCCTTTTCCTAACCTAATTTCTACATAGCATTTAAAATCATCTTTAGTTCTGCTTCTTTCTGCGACCAGTTTGTCATACACTAATAGTGATTGTCTCTATTGTCTTGTATTTTACAAAAAGATTTTATTGTTATTTAACTTCATGTATTTGGCTTATCTCCTCAAGTAAACTGTAAATTCTTGAAGCTAATGATTGTGCCTTTTGATGATTTATATCCTTTTTAGTTATCATGTTCATAGAGCACTCCAGTAATTATTTATTGGAGGGTGCAGTAGAGTTTTTGTATTCTGCTATCTTTGCTGTTGAGATTGCTAAAGTGAACCAATAAGTTTCTTTTGGAAACTGATAGATCCAGTGACATCAATGAATAAGAAGGCCAGGTCACTCAATTGGTTAGTGTTGTCCTGATACACCAAGGTGTGGATATGACTCCTGGTCAGGGCACATACAAGAATCAACCAATAAATGCATAAATAAGTAGAACAACAAATCATTGTTTCTCTCTCCCTCCCCCGCCCCCTTTTCTCCCTTCCTCTCTCTCTCTAAAATTAATACATAAAAATTAAAAAGAAAGAAGGTATAAGTAGGAGATACAGATGTTGGATGCATTTGGCCATATTTTCAAAGACAAATGTAATGGATAAATTATCACTTATTAGGGGCCCAGTACATGAATTTGTGTACCTTGAAAGGAATTGTGGGCCATGAGGCTGTGCTGGGCACAGGGGCAGGTCTTGGCTCATCCTCCATGCACCTACCTGGCCCTTCCTGCCACAGTCCCTGGTCCCCTGTCTGCCGGAAGCTCCACTACTGGCTTCTGCAGCCACCACTTGCATCTGCTTACGGCGTGGAGCAATTGTGGCTGGCACCAGCAACAGTTGCAAGTGGTGGCTGCTGCTCTAGGTGCCCCTCAGGAAGCCCTCAGGGGTGACCAGGCTCCCCAGCTGCTGCTTGCACCCACTGATAGTGCTGACCAATTAGGACCAGTTCTGGGGGTTGGCTGTAGGTATGAGAGGGTCTGAGAGGTGGCTGCTGGCCCTGATTTCCCCTTAGGAGCACGGGGAGGTGGAGAAGCCCTGAAAGGTGATTGGGGCTGGCAGCTACTGTTTGCACCTGCTGATGACACCGAGCAATTGGGGCCAATTGGGGCCGGCACCAGGCACTGGCAGCAGGTGCAAGGAGGGCTGGTGCCGACAGCAAGTGTGAGTGCTGGGCAGGACCATGGTATGCAGGAGCAAAGAATTTTCAGTATTTACCTGAGGCTCACCCTGATGACAGCAACTGGTGCCCCGCCTTGTTCTGGCACCCCTGCTCATCTGCTCCACCATAGCGCCATGGCCAATGCCCACCATGTTTCACAATCTGCAGCCTGCTGCGGATGCCCACCATGTTCTGCGCATGCCCCCTGGTGTACAGCGCATGTCATAGTGGTCATTTGTTTGGTTATACCACTGTTTGGTCTGTTTGCATTTTAGCCTTTTAAAGATTGATTTCAGAGAGGAAGCGAGAAGGAGAGAGAGATGATAGAAACATAAAAAATGAGAGAGCATCATGCATCATGGATCAGCTGCCTCCTGTACACCATCCCTCCCTCTGCACCCCACTGGGGATCGAGTCCACAACCCAGGGATATGCCTTTGATCAGAATCGAACCTGGGACCCTTCAGTCTACAGGTTAATGCTTTTTCCACTGAGCCAAACCGGCTAAGGTTTAGCCTTTTATTATATATGATTATTTTTCCCCCTATACATTTTCCTCAACATTTCTTTCACCAAAACCACAAGCATTTCTTATTTTCCCTCCCTCCCCCTCTCTCTCCCTTACCAAAGGATATGTTTATTGATTTCAAAGTCGGGGGGGGGGGGGTTTGAAAGGGAGAGAGAAACATTATCCATGTGAGAGAGAAACATCAATTGGTTGCTTCCTTCATGCACCCCTACCAAGGATCGAACCTGCAACCTTAGGTATATGCCCAGGAATCGAACTGGCAACCTTTTGTTGTACTTGGAAGATGTTCCAAACAACTGAACTACCTGGCCAGCCTTATTTTTTTTTGATAATGGAGGGGGAAATGGAATTTTTAATTGTCAGACTATGTTTTTATTTATTTTTTATGTCCTTTAACTCAGTATCTTATGAAATATTAAATAAGTATTTTTTGAAGCGTATCTTAGAAGTATAAATTAAATCAATTTTTAAATAATTTTCCAGTCCAATTGTATTATCACCAACATTCTCAAGTTGGGTATTTTTAAAAAGTGGTCTGTTTAAAATTTTTAAATGTATTTTTATTGCTTTTAGAAAGGGAGAGATAGATGGAAACATTGATGAGAGAGAAACATCAATCAGCTGCCTCCTGCACACCTCCTACTGGGGATAGAGCCTGTAACCCAGGCAGGTGCCCTGACCAGGAAGCTAACTGGTGACCTCTTGGTGCATATCTTCTTTTTAAATCCAACATTACTTCCTCAGGCATATTGAAATTAGTATTTGCTTGCTGAACTAAAAACAAACAAACAAAAAGGAGAGCAGCCTAGCCAGCGTGGCTCATTAATTGAACATTGATCTATGAACCAGGAGGTCAGGGTTTGATTCCCAGGTCAGGGCACATGCTCGAGTTTCAGGCTTGATCCCGTGTGGCATATGCAGGAGGCAGCCGATCAGAGATTATCTCTCATCATTGATGTTTCTATCTCTCTCCCTCTCCTATCCTCTCTGAAATAAATAAAAATATATTCAAAACAAAACAAAATGGAGAGCAATTATAATTGCTGCTTTTAGAAAATTTCACAAGTAAGTTTTCCATTTGTAAATGACACCTAATTTATCTATGCAATTTCCTCTCTTTTGTTTTGCTCCTCTCTTCCTCTTCCTTTCTATTCTGTTCTTCCTTTCTCCTTTCAACCAACATGCTAGGCATTGTGAATACAAAGATGAATAAGGCATATTTCCTCTTCTCACGGAGCTTCCTGTCTGGTGATGTTGGTCAGTATGAGGACTTTAAGTACCAAGAACGATGTCTCAGAAATTAATCATGACAATTGATTAACCAGGATATTTATCTTCCTCTCATGGGGGAAACATGTAGCCTAATAGATTTTTGACACCAAAAAGTCCTGCTCTTAGAATATAATAAAACAAAACTGTGTCTCCCGTCATTCTTTGCAGCATCACCATTTTAATTGATATAGCATTTCTTTCTGGTTATAAATGCAAAATGGAAGTGTCTTTGGAGTTTATCTAGTGTAATGTCTTACTTTTCTGATAGGGAAAAACTAAGATCAATGGATGGGAATATGGACTTTTTTTTTTGTTGCTAACAGATTAAGTTTTCCACATCATATATTTTCATATATTTTAAAAATATTTCTTTCTTTGTAAGTTATCATTTTTTTTTTAGCTTAAACAAGTTTAGTTCTAATAATTTTTGCTTATATGATGGAGTTTTTAAGTTTTTTACTATTATTGGCAATTCTTCTGAAATCTACCAGTCGCTCTTAAAATACATACCATGTATTTATAATATAACACTAATGGAGTATAGTTTCATGAAGAAAGAATGATTTGTGTGCCTCACTCCCCAAGTTTATCTATTTTTCCATTGTTTTTAGTTCTCTACTAGAGGTTTGGTGCATCAAATTTGTGCAGGGGGCGGTTCTCTCAGCCAAGCCTGCACCCTGTCCAATCCAGGACCCTTCAGGGGATATCTGACTGCTGGTTTAGGCTCATTCCCAGGGATCGGGCCTAACCTGTCAGTCAGACATCCCTCTCACAATCCAGGACCACTGATTCCTAACGGCTCATCTGCCTGCCTGCCTGATTGTCTGCTATTGCCCCCCCCTTTCCCCCCCTCCCCCCCGTCGGCATGGTCACCCCCAACTGCCCCCCCCCCCACTGGCATGGGTCACCCCCAACTGTCCTCCCCTGCCAGCCTGGTTGCCCCCAGCTGCCCCCTTCCCAGCCTGGTTGTCCCATGCAGCCTGCTGTTCAGTTGTTTGGTTGTCCCTCACTAACCTCCCTGCCAGCCTGGTCACCCCATGCATCCTGCTGGTCATTTGTTTGATTGCCCCCCCCCCCCCCCCCCCTTTTCCGCCAGCCTTGTCACCCCATGCAGCCTGTGTTTGGTCATCTGTCCAGTTGTTTCCATTGTGATGGTCCCTGGCTTTTTATATATTAGGATTCTAAATTACTCATGAGTGATCTGGGGTAAATATAAGGCTGTGTTAATTGTTGGCTCAATTATCCAGTTGTTATAAAGTTTCAGTATAGTTGTACAGTTTTGAACAGAATTATTGCACTAGAAACTATCAGCTCATTAATTTTTCTTTTTAAAATGTTATCATGATTTATTTACGTGCAACTTTTTTCTTGCTTTTTCTTTTTGATTTTCTTTATTTTTTATTTTATGATTTTTTTTTACATTACAGACAAACAGAAACTTCTTTCATCTTTCCATTCTCTGATTTATGATAAATTTAGTTTCCTTTGGCCTGGCATTTGCTTCAGCAGGCAGTCTTTCTTCAAGTACTTCCCTGATTGATGTATAATCTTTGATATCTTCCATTAGCCTCCAGGATCACTAAGTTCAAGGCCCCCTTGGAACCTAAGGAGCCCTGCCGAGGAGCTGAAGGCCTTCAGAGTCCTTGGGGTGATTGACAAGGTAATTCTTCAGTGCCTCTTCAAGAGTTCAGTCATAAATCGACTGCATGCTGACATTATGTCTTTGAAGCTTTGGATCTTAAGGATATGAAACAAAAGGAGAAAATGACTCAAATGCATCTGCACTTTAAAATAACAAAAGCAGAAGAGAAAAAGCTTTTATCTAAGCAATTCATGTAAGGTCATGCAAAATATATTGGAGCTAAAGGAGAAGGTGCATATTTGTTGGCATTCAGTGGAGTAGGGGTTTGGTTTTTTAAACTTGTTATAAGAGTAAAGATACACTTTGTTAGTTACAAAAACTTGGGAGTCAGTAGTCATTATACTGGTGTAGTCAGTATAATTAGTCAAAAAGAAAAATGGCATCTCCCAATTACTACTGTTTATCGAGCACCTACTATGTGTCAATCATATCTTAGGCATTTTATATAAAACAAATTATTTTCACAACTCTGTTATTTGCATTTTAGTAAGAAAATGATGTTTAAAAGAGGTTAAGTAACTTGTCCAAAGATCACATAGCTAATTAAGGGTAGTGCAGAAGGTCAAACCTAGATCTTTGTGATTTAAAAAGCTGTGCTTTTTCTATACACTTAAAATATGCTAAACATGCCCAATACTGGGCCTCTTAGAGAATTTAAAAGTATAATTTAAAAACTATACCTAATAAACTGTGTTTTAAATATATTTGATCAACCATTACTTTTACCTTTCAAAGTCAAAGAAAATGCTTTAGTTAATGTTAAGATGTACATTAATTTAAATCTTTTTTACATTAACCATCTTTTATGAAGCACCTTAGTGGCAATTTGTAACTTACTGAGTACTTCTTGTCTTCTAAAGTATGCATGTGATTCCATGCTAAAACCGAGCAATATGCAGTATAACACAGGTGATTTAGACAGTAATTTATAGTTTGAGATATTCCAAAAGTAACATTAGGTTGGATATTTCATGAAGCTCTCAGTGTCTTATTAAATTCTTACAAGCATCATTTTCTTCAAATTCACATGACTGAATTTTGATCTTAAAGAATTCTAAGCAGTATGATTTTAGAGGTTGAAATGATGCCTTAACCATGTTTTCCCTGGCATTTCAGAACATTCAGTTTAAGAGTACAGAGAGACAAAATAGGAATTGAGCAGTTTCCTTGTTTTTGGATTTCTGTGCATGAAAATAAGCTTTTTTGATGTACAATGTCTGTTCCCTTTTAGACTTGTTTATTTTGACAAAATGTGTCCTTTCATTGCTATGCTCTAATTATGAGTAAGTCACCTGACTTATTCAACTAAGAAATTTTGACAATGGAGGAATTCCTAAGTCTTTGCTGAAGCATAATTTATTACTGTTTTTACTCTATTAACTTGTGTTTGGTGTTTAGAAGGTGACATTTAATTTTCTTAAGTAGAGATAAGGAATTATGTTTTGGAATTAAATAAGCTTTTTATAATTATTTTATATTTTTATTTATTGATTTTAGAGAAAGAGAGAGAGAAGGAGGAAGAGAGGGAGGGAGACAGATTGAGATAGAAATAGACTGAGAGAAACACAGAGAAACAGGGCCATTGATTTTTTTTTATTCCACTTATTTGTTGAATTCATTGGTTGATTCTGGGAGTCATACTTGCAGTCTTGGTGTATCAGGACAGTTCTCTAATCAACTGAGTACCTGGCCAGGGTTGGGAATTAAATAAGTTTTGCAAGTACGGTAATCTTTTAAAATGTGTAACATTGTCTCTAAGTTGCAAGAGCATCAATAGGTAAACTTTAAATAATTTGAATTTTTTAAAAATATAAATTTCTATCAGTTGTACTGAAGAATACCTAAAATTTGGATTTTACAAACTTAAAGTTTTGAAGAGAAGTATTGAATATATTCAAACAGCTAAAAAAATACACAGGATATGGTAATCTAGCCCATATAGGAGACAGTTTTTCTGATTCTCTTTCATTATAGTATTTGTTCTTTATGAGTTATTTTGAGTGTTATTGTCTATTAACTTAGGAAAATAAAATTTCCCTAGGGTAGGAGTTTATAAACTTTTATATAGAAAGTAGATAAAACAGATTACTATCTAGGCCTTAAGTTCTTGAGAACAAGATTTTGTCTTTCTTGTTCACATCCATATTCTCAACACTTAGAAGCATGCCTGGCACATAATGGACACTCAATAAATACTTAATGAATTGAAACTTAAATAACTTTAAGTACTATATTATCTATAGACTGATACCTACTGGTATATTATGAGACTGCTACCTAGTACCACTGTTCCAGACACTCAGATGTCTTTACTCAGATGTATATTAATTCCAAAGCTGTATCTTGGTCTAGTATTCAAAGGTAAATAAGTGACTTTGTCCTTTAATTGGGATTAACATATATAGGCAACAAGAAAGTTAAGCATAGGGCTCTTGGATTCTAAATAAACTGGTGTGCATTCAGAAGCAAGAATGATAAGGCTGGTGAAGGCCCTCCAAATCATATATACAGAGCAGCTGAAATATGAGTAAAGGTTAACTAATAAAAACATGCACGGTGTTTATATTTTTGAGGGCTCTCCAATATAGAGGGACTGTATAATGTTTTGTTCAAATCTGGGGGTGAAAAGGGATATTAATTATGCCAGAACAACATCTGGGACAACCTAGGATATCTGGTTTTCCTGGGAAAAGATAGTAAGGGATGAGACATCAACTAGAACTAAATGAGTATAAATTGGCAAAATTTTGGCCAATGATTGGAGATACTTTTCAAAAATTAGGTTTGACCAAAGGCAGACTGGATTCCTTCATATCTTATTTGTTTCATGTCATTAGATATATTCAAGTAAAGGCTGAAGGATCATTGGTGGGGATATTGTAGAAGGAATTAAAGCATTGAATGGAATTTTTTTTAAATTTAGAGAGTAAGTGTGGAGGTGTAGGATGGGAGGGGAGAGAGAGAGAGAGAGAGAGAGATAGAGAGAGAGAGAGAGAGAGAGAGAGAGAAGGAAAAAAGAAAGAGAAACATTAGTTTGTTGTTGCACTTATGCATTCATTGGTTGATTTTTGTATTCGATGCCCTAATCCAGAATCAAACCCAAAACCTTGGTGTATCAGGTGATGCTCTAACCAATTGAGCTACTAAGCTATGTATATTCAAAATGTCCAGGTTTCTATAGAAAGTTATTGAGAAAAGACAGTCTGCTGATACCAATAGTGAGATGACAGAGATGTTAGTTATCTCACAGGATTTATAACAGCCATCATGAAAATACTTAAGAGAGCAATTGCAAACATCCATAACACAAAATAAAAAGTCTCAGAAGATGTAAAGAACTACTAAATGAAGATTTAGAACCAAAAAAATACAATATGAGGGGGGGAAAAACCTCTCAGTGGGCTCAATAGAATGGATGGGACAGAGAAAAAATAGTGCATTTCAATATAGAACAATAGAAACTACCCAGTGTGAATAGAGAAATAGACTGGGGGGTAGGGGTGGGAGAGAGGGAAATGAACAGAGACCCAGGAACCTATGAAGCTAAATTCAGCAATTCTAACACTCATGTCATTGGGGTTGCAGATGAAGAGGAGAAAGGGGGGAGCTAACAAGTGTTCGAAGAAATATGGCGAGACATAATCCTACAGATTCAAGAAGTGAATCTCAAACAGGATAAATCCAAACAAATCCATGGCAAGGCACACATAGTCCAACTTCTAAAAAGTAAAGATGAGAAAATTCGAAAGCAGCAAAAGAGAAGCACTTACAGAGGAAAAATAGTTTGAATGACAGTGGATTTCTCATCAGAAGCCATGAATGTCATAAGGCTGGCACACCATTTTTTAAGCACTGAAAACAATGGCACTGTAAAGATCCTTAACTATCTCCTCCTGGGATCTGGTACCAGCTGCAGTCTGGGAGCTCACAGGGAGAAGGGGGATGTCCTCATCAATTTGGCCTACAGGTTTTCATACAATGCTTCTGTTTTCAGTACAAACAGTTCCACCTTCAGCTGTTAGAAAATGAACCTCTCTCTAGTCTTTGGCTGGGGAAGAGAGGGCAGCTGCCTGGCTGTCTGTACAGTGGCCTAGAGTGTAGACATTTCTTCAGTCTTCCTGTTTTCAGGAGATACCTGGTACCCCTCATTTCTGGAGTTCTGCAGGAAGAATTGGCTTGCCTTTCGTTGTTGTTTTCACCTGTAGACATTTGGCATTTGTTTTTTGTCTAGTAAAATTTTGCCATCTTTTCACATCTCTCTTGTTTATAGTGACTACATCCTTTAAAATCTGTATACTGTTATTCAGTGGGGTTTCTATGGGAGATTGTGATTTATATTTAAGAGAATGTTTAATTTAACACATTATGTAGTCCTGTCAGCTTCATGGCATCCATAATTTTAATCACATGTCTTTGTTGATCTTTTTAAAGTTGTTAATTTTTAAAAAAATCAATAGTACAAAGAGTCCTGTAGGTGATATATGGCTAGAATAATTATTTCAAGTTGACCCACCACCCTCTGGGTATTGCTAGTTACATCGAATCCATCTTTCCTTCAACTGGGTTTCAAATTAAAATGTGCACTGCTTGTGGAAATGCAGACTGGTGCAGCCACTGTGGAGAACAGTATGGAGTTTCCTCAAAAAACTGAAAATGGAACTCCCATTTGACCCAGTAATCCCATTCCTAGGAATATATTCCAAAAAACTAGAAACACCAATCAGAAAAGATATATGCACCCCTATGTTCATAGCAGCACAATCTACAATAGCTAGGATTTAGAAACGGCCTAGGTGTAGATGTACCATAGTTTTGGGTAAAAAAAAATGGTACATCTACACAATGGAATACTATGCTGCCATAAAAAAGAAGGAATTCTCATCATTTGCAGCAACCTGGATTGGGGAACATCATGCTGAGTGAAATAAGCCAGTCAATGAAAGAGAAATACCACATGACCTCACTCATTTATGGATAATAAAGAACATTATAAACTTATGAACCAAAAGATAGATTTA